AGCTCCGACAAGACTATGACTACTCACTGCATTACACTCCAAAATCAATAATCAACCCACTAGCTCAGACAAGACTATGACTACTCACTGCATTACACTCCAAAATCAATAATCAACCCACCAGCTCTGACAAGACTATGACTACTCACTGCATTACACTCCAAAATCAATAATCAACCCACCAGCTCTGACAAGACTATGACTACTCACTGCATTACACTCCAAAATCAATAATCAACCCACTAGCTCAGACAAGACTATGACTACTCACTGCATTACACTCCAAAATCAATAATCAACCCACTAGCTCAGACAAGACTATGACTACTCACTGCATTACACTCCAAAATCAATAATCAACCCACTAGCTCAGACAAGACTATGACTACTCACTGCATTACACTCCAAAATCAATAATCAACCCACTAGCTCAGACAAGACTATGACTACTCACTGCATTACACTCCAAAATCAATAATCAACCCACCAGCTCTGACAAGACTATGACTACTCACTGCATTACACTCCAAAATCAATAATCAACCCACCAGCTCTGACAAGACTATGACTACTCACTGCATTACACTCCAAAATCAATAATCAACCCACCAGCTCTGACAAGACTATGACTACTCACTGCATTACACTCCAAAATCAATAATCAACCCACCAGCTCTGACAAGACTATGACTACTCACTGCATTACACTCCAAAATCAATAATCAACCCACCAGCTCTGACAAGACTATGACTACTCACTGCATTACACTCCAAAATCAATAATCAACCCACCAGCTCTGACAAGACTATGACTACTCACTGCATTACACTCCAAAAATCAATAATCAACCCACCAACTCTGACAAGACTCTGACTACTCACTGCATTACACTCCAAAATCAATAATCAACCCACTAGCTCAGACAAGACTATGACTACTCACTGCATTACACTCCAAAATCAATAATCAACCCACTAGCTCAGACAAGACTATGACTACTCAATATCTTATCTTCATATTCAATTTAGTTAACTAAATTGAATGGAATCCGGAGCTCATTCACTATAAATCTGGTAGTGCACATCATATGAATATCAACCAAAGCATTTTACTTCATACTTTCCTCTAATTATCATCCAATGGATCTACCCCCAAATATGGTTAACCTTGAAGAGGTCCAACGACAATGGGAGTTGGAAAATTCCATACTCGATAGGCAACAACAACTTCTTGAAGAGTTACAACATAGAAACGAACGACCACACAAAAAAAAAATATCTGCATAGGGATCATGGAGCAGCCCATCAAAGGCTCATGGCCGACTACTTCGACGAGTCATGCACTTACTCCGACATGCAGTTTCGCCGAAGATATCGAATGAAAAGGTCATTGTTTCTACGAATTGTAGACGCATTATCAAATTATGACAACTACTTCACTCTAAGGCGTGATAATTCAAAAAAATTGGGCTTGTCACCTATCCAAAAGTGTACAGCTGCCATCCGCATGCTTGCATACGGAGTCGCCGCAGATGCATGTGATGAGTATGTGAAGATTGGAGAATCCACCACAATTGAGTGCACTCGCAATTTTTGCGATGGGGTAATTGCTTTGTTTCAAGATGAATACTTAAGACGTCCAAATGTGGAAGACGTGCAGAGGTTACTCCAAGTTGGTCAGGAGCGTGGTTTCCCCGGAATGATTGGAAGTATCGACTGCATGCACTGGCAATGGAAGAATTGTCCTAAGGCTTGGCAAGGGCAGTTTACTAGTGGACACAAGGGGACGGCAACAGTTATCCTTGAGGCAGTGGCATCTTTTGATTTATGGATATGGCATGCTTTTTTTGGTTTGCCAGGTACATTGAACGACATTAATGTACTAGATAGGTCACCGGTATTTGACGATATTGAGTCCGGTGAAGCCCCGGAGGTGAATTTCATTGTCAATGGGCGACAATACAATCGTGCTTACTATCTTGCAGATGGAATATATCCGAAATGGCCTGTCTTTGTCCAATCAATTCAATTGCCCCAAGGCAACAAAGCGCAGTTGTTTGCCAAACAACAAGAATCATGTAGGAAGGATGTGGAACGCGCATTTGGGGTTCTCCAAGCACGATTTGCTATTATTCGCCAGCCCGCTAGAATGTGGGACATTGAGGTCTTAGGTAAAATAATGAGGGCTTGCATTATTTTACATAACATGATAGTCGAGGATGAACGAGATACATATTTGCGAAACTGGGAAAATATTGACTTCGAACCATCGAACAATGCTAGTGCTAGCTCTAGCTCCTCTTTCAATGTCCAAACACAAGTGTTGCCACAATTTGAAGTGCACGTTCAAGCCCGAGCCGAATCGGATATTCATACTAGAGCCGATCTACGTGATAGGGCCAAACACATTCAGTTGAAAAAGGATCTCGTCGAGCACATTTGGCAAAAATTTGGAGCAACCTTCGAATAGAAATGTCAAAAACTTTCAATGTTTGGTGTGTTTTTTCTTGCATGTTTCAATAAACTATGTATGTTTGGTGTGTTTTTTCTTGTACGTTTTCAATAAATTATGTATGTTTGGTTTACCACTACATTAATAATAGTGTGTGTTGTTTTCTTTTATAAAATTAATATATTATTTATTGCATTAAAAATTAAGTTTTTTGAAAATTATAAATTATTAAAAAATACATATTATTTATTACATAATAAAAATTAAATTTTATAATTATAAATATATTAGTAAATATAATAACAATTAAAATGTATAAAAAATAAGAATAATAGGATGAATAAATATGGTGGGGTATATGGTTGAGTGATGTGGAGGAAAGATAAAGTGAAAAACTTTTGAAAAACTAGTTGTTGTGGAGTTGAAAGACAATTGGAAAAGGCAAGTGATGTGGAGAGAGAATAAAGTGAGGTGGAAGGAGAGAGAAAGGCAATATTTGCCTTGCCATTGGAGATGGTCTTAGGGGAAGTGGGGTAGGAGAGAGAGAGATACAGAGAGATGAAGAGAGAGAGATACAGAGTGATATACCGGTAAGGGGGAAACACAGGGAAAATACATTCGTGTACAAATTATGGATCACATTCGTGTACAAATTATGGAAAGAATGAATACTCGCCACGAGATGGCAACAAAATGGAATAGCTATCTATGTCCAGAAGCGGAAAAAATCCTCCAAGAAAATGTTACCAAGGTAAGCACTCTTGAAGTATCGCATTCTACAGCTAAAATCTTTGAGGTATCATCACAAAAATCAGTACAAGATGATTTGGATCACAAAACATGCACGTGTCGTGCCTGGGATATATTGCGAATACCATGTAAACATGCGTGTGCTGCTATCAACTTTATGCATAGAGATGTGTACCAGTTTTGCGATTAGTTCATGACGACTGAAGCTTTTAAGAAAAGTTACGAACCAATTCTCTTTCCTATTCCAAATTATGATAAGCCAGATGTAACAGATGAAACCGTTAGCATTCTTCCTCCAAAGACGACAAAGAGACGTGGAAGGAACAAGAATAGACGTATCAACAACAGATCTGAGAATAGACGTGCAATTAGATGCTAAAGATATCACGCTGAAGGACATAACCAAGTCACATGCACTGAACCTATCCAAGATTAACGTTTCCCGACAGATTGCAAACTCTTTTGTGATTATTTTCTGTTACATGCTACTTTTGCCATTTTGTTGTGACATTTACAACTTATATGTGATGTATTACATGTAAATGATAACTTATATGTGACGTATCACCTGTTCGTGTGACGTATTACATGTTTAGATTCAATATGTTAAAGATAATTGCGCCATTTACTAATTTTGCCTTTTTGATATTCTGTGTGACATAACATCCCGTCCCTCAAGGATCCCCCTGATGGAAAAATAGGCATGTAGAAGAGAGAAAAATCTCTATAACTGAGCAACATAACACTTAATAGCATGATATCTAACATGGAACGAGAATAAAACACAGAGAATGTTCGAATATCACATAACACCACCAAAATCTCACACAGAATATCAAGAGTCACATTGCATTCTAAAATGTCACAAATCAGCCCCAAAAGTCACACAGATTACCAAGATCACATGTTCATCTTTAATATGGTAAAGAAAAGATCATCAGGAAATACCATCTATGTTAGTAAACTGGTTATCATTTACAAACAGCAGTTAAACAACCAACATCCATCATAGGACATCCAACAAATGAAACAATTACATCTAGAGTCTAATACTTCCACTCAATCATAGGTACATCACTACCCCCGAAGTACAATAGATATTCTGGATCATCACTGTCTAATTTCAACCGTAGCTTTTTCCATTCACGCCCTTCACATATGATTTGAGCAGCAAGTCCAGCCCGTAGCATATGCGACTCCCTGTACAAGGCTTCAATGTTTATTATCTCCGTGCCCTCGAGGATCTCCTTAATAAAAAAATACGCATGTATGCCACAATCATATCTGTAAAAATATAACATAACACTTAATAGCAGGATATGTAACGGGTAACGAGAATAATACACAGTTACCTAATATGTCACATGCAATATCAAAATGTCACATAAATGCAACATAAGTCATACTGCATACTAAACTGTCACATAACATCCCCAAAAGTCACAGAGAGTCCGCAAATATCACATATTGATGTGAATATAACACCGACAATGTCACTAAGCCATACAACAAGCCATGTAACAATCTCATGTTTAAGTATAAGAAACTTACGAGCCTTTTTGCGTTCGACAAGGGACTGCTTCATATTCGAATGCTCTGAATGTCGACACATGATCGTAACCACTCACCATCCTATCTAAAAAAAGTTGGATGGTCAACACGTCTCTAGCCCATGCCTCGTGGTCAGCGGAGCTGTAATGTCTGCATTTTTTTTGCCCCAAGTTGACCTCAAGGACATGCCAATGATCAACGTGACATATTGGAATTATCAACACATCCTTCCCTTCATCTATATGCTTCTTTATGTAATTTTCATAGACATTGCGCTCATCCAAATTTGAAGCAGTTAGCAACCAAATCTGTCAAAAACAGAGAATAAAGCAAACAGAAGAAAGTCATATAAATGCAATATCACATAATAGGTATTATGATAGCCATTACTCACACTAAAATACAACATGACAATAGCGTATTTTCTTTCGACATGGTCATTTTCTGGCAGCTTGAGCCATGTTTGAAGTCTTGCGACCAAAGCTTCAACAATCTAATGATTGCAAATGTAACAAGTTATTGTAATTGTGCAAAACTTGATTAACTCCGCAACAATAACAAAAACTAACATCATCCTTTAATCTTCCACCACGTAAAAGATGTAGCATATCATATCTGCATATAGTATGATCTTCAACCTCAAAAATTGTCCGACTACAAAAATGTAGAAGACAATCAATGTATAAGCGACATATTCTAATCAACACCAAACTGTCACAGGAAAACACGAAACGTCACAGGAAAATAATCAAGTGTCACATGAAAACACTATGTGTCACAGAAAAATACTAAATGTCACAGGAAAACAATAAATGGCACAAGAAAACACTAAATGTCCCAAACAAACACTAAATGTCATATGAAAACACTATGTCACAGGAAAACGCTAAATGTCACATACTAACACTAAATGTCATATACAAACACTAAATGTCACAGGAAAACACTAAATGTTACATACATGTACTGTACGTCACATACAAACACTAAATGTCACAGGAAAACACTAAGGGTCCCAAACAAACACTAAATATCACATGAAAACACTAAATGTCACATACAAACACTAAATGTCACATACAAACACCGACTGTCACAGGAAAACACTATATGTCACAAACAAACACTAAATGTCACAAACAAACATTATGTCACAGGAAAACACTAAATGTCACATACAAACAATAAATGTCACATGAAAATACTATGTGTCACAGGAAAACACTTAATGTCACATACATATACTGAACGTCACATACAAACACTAAATATCACAGGAAAACACTAAAGATCCCAAACAAACACTAAATATCACATGCAAACACTATATGTCACATGAAAGCACTAAGGGCTTGTTTGGATTTGGAGGGGTTGAAGGGAAGTTAGGGGAACCTAGGAGAAGTTAAGCTAAGGGAAGAGAAGGGAATTTCTAAAACTTGTTTGGGAAACTAGTAAGGTGAATTAAGAGGAAGTTATTTCACCCCGTTTGGAAAGTGTAATAACGGAAAGGGAAGGGAAGGGAATGTATATAAATTGACATAAATACTCTCATATATTATTAAGTTATATTGTTGTTAGAAATTTTAGCCGTTGGATTTTGATCTTAACTAGGGGTAAATATGTCTCTCTACATTTGTTGTATTCCCCCTCTTTACCTTCACCCCCATTACACCCCAAATTGGGGGGGAAGAAATCATGTTATTTTTTCACCTCCTTTCACCTCCCCTCACCCCTATTAACTTGCTATATTTACTTCCCAAACAAGGTTAAAAGTTACCCTCCCTTCCCCTCCACCCCATTACCCTCAATCCAAACAAACACTAAATGTCACAAACAAACACTAAATGTCACATGAAAACACTAAATATCACAAACAAACACTTAATGTCACAGGAAAACACTAAATGTCACAGGAAAACACTAAATGTCACAAACAAATACTAAATGTCACAGGAAAACACTAAATGTCACATACATGTGCTGAACGTCACATACAAACACTAAATATCACAGGAAAACACTAAATATCACATGAAAACACTATATGTCACAGGAAACACTAAATGTCACAAACAAACACTAAATGTCACAGGAACACACTATATGTCATGTCACAAACAAACACTAAATGTCACAGGAAAATACTAAATATCACAAACAAACACTAAATGTCACATACAAACACTGAATGTCACAGGAAAACACTAAATGTCACATACAAACATTGAATGTCACATGAAAATACTAGATGTTACAGGAAAACACTAGATGTCACAGGAAAACACTAAATGTCACAAACAAACACTAAATATCACATGCAAACACTATATGTCACAGGAAAACACTATATGTCACACGAATAACACTTAATATCACAGGCCTAATATAAATATCACAGAATAACACTTAATACTTACTTGTCAACTTTTAATGTAAGAAAATATTAAAGCCACTTGTTTTCATCATCCGATGCATCGGGAATGTCCTCAACGGTGAAATTATGGTAAAAGCCTTCGTCGATTGTTCCCGGTAGCCTAACATCAAAGTCTTGTGAAGAAGGAATGCTCATATTCAACATCTCCAATAAACTTTTTTCCTCTTCACTTTTTTCCCTTTTCCATAGCTCTGCAACAGATGTTCTCCTACCGATGTGTGAAATTGCAATTGGCTTCTCCACATCCTTCTCCCCCTTGTCGTCGTCATCTTCCACCAGAACGACACCTTTCTTCCCTTTCCTTCCCTTCTTAGGCAATTCAGTTTGGAAGAGAGATTCTAAGAACTTGGGCTTCTTTGTTGTTCTTTGGCTCTTTGTCTGTAGCCCACTAACAAATGCTTTTAAAGTATCATCGGTTTCCTCCCTCCTCTTCCTTCCCTTCTTCTTTTTGGGAACATTCTCAGCAACTTTTACCTCTTAAAGATGTATAAAGATCACAGTTAATGAATATATATCACATGAAATATTCTTATCACAAATAATAACCAAACATCACATGTAAACTGTTTACGTCACATTATTAGACAAAATGTCACAAGAGATATATGAATGCCACAAAAGGTAGACAATTGTCACAAACCAAAGGGAACTATCACAAATAAGCAGTAAATGTCACATGCAATAAGCAAATATCACAAAGAAGAGTTACCTCCTCCAGTTCACTGCCCATGGCCTGGGTTTGATCACCTTCTTTGCCTCCCTCCTCTTCTTTCCCTTCTTCTTTCTCTGCCTCAACTTTAGCATGTCACTACAACAGACAGGTCTTTTAGCGACCAACTTTTTTACTAGAAAGTTATTTTCCTCAACAAATATCACTTTCGACAAGGAAAAAATTATTTCCTCGGTAAATATCAGTAGGTCTTCAACGAGGAATATATTTTCCTCACAGTAGACCACCTTCTACGATGAAAATTTTAGTTCCTCACTAAACATGATCATGATTTGGTCTCCTAACTAGTTATTTTATTGGCGAGGAAATATGAGATTTTGGTGAACTTTTTCATCGTGAAATGCACATTTAACAAGGAAATAATCATTTCATCGCTGTTATTTTGGTGAAAAATAGAGGAAAACCCGCCAAATGTAATAGCGATAAAAGTATGATTTCCTCACTGAAGATCTATAATCTACGAGGAACCATTTCCTCATCAAAAGAATCAATTAGCGAGGAAATAATAGTTTACTTATTATTAGTTTGGCAGAAAAATGTGCAAAACCCGTCAATTTCAATAGCAACAAATTTAAGGCTTCCTCGCTAAAAGTTTTTGTTTTACGAGAAACCTTTTTGTCGTAAAAAAGAACCTATTAGCAAGGAAATTATAGTTCCCTCAATATTAATTTGGCAAAAAATATGCAACACCCGCGAAATTCATTGACGACAAATTGAAGGTTTCCTCACTAATTTTTTTTGTTTTACATGGAACTCTTTCCTCGTTAAAAGAATTAATAAATGTCCAGCACGAGGTAAAGCTCCAGTATGGATAGAAATAAGGATTTGGTTTGTCTGGTTGATGATTCCTTTTTGTAGTTTTTTGCACAATTCACATGAAGATTAACAACCAATTAATATTTATTCAGGTTCAAAGGGATCCCAATGATACAGGATTGCTCACAAATCTGATAAGATTTAAACAATTTGCGAGTTTTGAATATACATTTATCTCAGACTTCTGAAATTAGATTATGTTAACATATAATATTGACTTCTGAAAATAGATTAAACCAAACGTGCAATGAAATCTCTTATTCTATTTGGCATAGCACTAATACAAAATAGGACAGTCCAAACAGTTATTAGAACCGTTTGGACAAGTAAAAACAGCCCAAACGGTTAAACCCGTTTGGGATAACAAAACCCAAACGGTTGAAACAGTTTGGGTTGTTAGGAGATCCCAAACGTAACCTCCAAAGAGGTTTAACCGTTTGGGATGTTTAGCCCAAATGGTTTAACTCGTTTAGGTGTTTAATTATTTTTCTTTTTTTAAATAAAACATTTCTCTTCTTCTGTGCTCTTCCGCTTCACCCCAAAATTTCCCCCAAAATCTAAAATCCGCCCCCCCCCGCCAAAACTTACCCCAAAATCTAAAATCCTCACGCCCCTTATCCCCATCCCCTCAAATCCCTCGACCATCTTCTTCCTCCTCCTCCGCTCCCGCCGCCGCCTCCATGTCGTCTTCATCCGCTTCAATCTCGTTGGGCTCCGCCGTTGGGTCCTAGGGTTCTGCATCATCCGCTTCGATCTAGAGCAAGGCCAGACCGTCGAGGTCTTCTTCCTGCCGAACTCCTTCACTGCCGACCAGCAGCTCCTCATCGCCTTCTCCTCGTTCCCCGATTCAATGCACCAGGCCCGCCACCGATCCTTGATCCTCGACTCCATCTTCACCTTCAAGTTCCCGGTGAGCTCCTCCTTCGTCTACGGCTACGTCTTCAACCGTCAGCGGCACGATCTGAGGCAAGATTTCAACCGCCAGCGTAAAGATTTTAAATATAATTGATTCTCAAATATAATTGATTTGGAAGATAGATTAAACCAAACGTGCTACAATCTTCAACCGCCAGCGGTAAGATTTCAAATATAATTGAGTTGGAAGGTATATATGTATCTTTTTCTTTTAAATTTGGGTTTGATGTGTTATTATTTGTTCTCAAGTTTTTTATTTTTTGTGATTTTTTAGGCGATTTGTTTGGTGTGCGATACTGAGCAGCGGGTAAAATTTTTGAATTATCTTTGTTTATTTGAAATTCTTTTTCATTCTGGGAATTATTGCAAGAGTTGGGGTGATTTTAGGTTACCAAAGTTTGTACAAAGCGTGGTGTAAACATGAGGGAGTATTTCTGTGAAATATGCAAATTTACGACTACACTGAGAAAGGGCAGTTTCACTATGATGATTGCGGTATTTGTCGAGTTGGAGGGCAGGATAATTTCTTCCATTGCGAAACGTGTGGTATGCGCCTCTCTCTTGATAAATATTTGGATTTGTTTGCTTTTCTTGATAATTGTTTTCTATTAATGACGAACCAGACTTCTATTAGAATAATCAACAGTTATCTACATTTAGTGCTGACATCTTGTTTTTCTTTTTGTTGACGTTGTATATACATGCTTTTTTGTCTTTTTGTTGAGCTCATTGTTCTATCTGATTGTACTCAAGCATGTGGGATGGAATAGATGAAATTCATGGCACTTTGTTATCTACATTTTATGGATACATCTTCTTTAGTTGTAATTTTCTGTTAATCTACATATCTTTGTCCATTCGAAATTATCTATAGGTTCCTGCTACTCAAATTCTCTACGCGGTAAGCACACATGTGTGGAGAACTCAATGAAACAGAATTGCCCCATATGTGTTGAGGTACATTTTCCTGATATTCTTTCGCATTCTACATTTGAAATTTGAAACATCATAATGTTAGATTCTATGTTGCAGTATCTTTTTGACTCGTTAAAAGTGATAAGTGTTTTGAAATGTGGACACACAATGCACTCTGAATGTCTGGCCCAAATGTTGAATCATCATCAGTAAGCCTCATCCCCCCACTAAACTGTAGTACCTACTAATTTGACCCCCAATCCAATTTGATTTTGGTGTTTAAGAAGGGAAATTGTATATGTTATTAATGTTTTTTTGTTTTTCTTTCTTTTGCAGTAGATACACTCATACACATGTCCAATGTGCTCCAAGTCTGTGGTAGATATGGCAAGGCATTGGAGAAAGCTCAATCAAGAGGTAAACACTTCTTACCTTTCGACATATTGAGGCTTTGTATTCTTAACTCATGCTTATCAATATCTAATAAGAAGTATTGGGATGATCAAGAGTTACAGGTTTCAGTAGCTTTACTAGTTCAAATGCTTGTATGAGTTTTGAACGCAAAATATGTTTCTATTATAATACATACATAGACAGCTCAACCTGAAATTAAACAATCACCTGAGTCATTGGAAGGATGAAACATGATTGGTGCAAATGATAAGAAAGAAAATTCACACACGTCAGCATATAATTAAAATACGAATACATAAGCATAGTACTTGCATATTTTGTCTAGATTTATGTGTGCTTGACACCTATCACATAAGTATAATACCTTGTATTGTTTTGTTGGCTCAAGAAAGAATGAGAGTTTCTTTGCACTCATTTTTCTAGTGAAAAGTTTAAGGTACAATATCTTTTTTTTATTTTTCTCCATGTATTACATTTTTTTTCATTTACTTCTTTCTAACTGTATGTCTTAATAATTTTAGATTTACTCAGAGAAGAATATTCTTAATAGGTCAAAGTTGACATATCATCACAAAGCTGGGTCAAAATCATTTGTCACACCAAGAGCAAATTGTGAGACACTTTTTAGTTTTGCTTATAAATTTGTAACTTAATTGTGTACATATATATATGTTGAAAAAGAAAATATGTGTAGATGCTTTGAAGCAAATTATCAGTTCCTGTCATAGGAACTCAAAAGTGTGTCTATCTGAGCTTTATTCAAAAATTTCCCCAGCAGCTACAAAGGTCCCATGGTTCACAACAGTGTGGGAAAATATGAGCTACCCAAAGCACTGTTTCATTATGTGGCTTGCAGTGCAGAACAGGCTACTTACAAGAGATCGATTGCTCAAAAGAGGAATCATCACCACTGGCCTCTGTTGTTTATGCAATGAAAATGTTGTTGAATCCCGAAACCACCTCTTTTTTGAATGCAGCTTCACTAGTGCAGTCTGGAATGAGATTATGAATTGGCTTCAATTCGATTGGAAGACTTGTGAATGGAATCGCTTGCTGGATTGGATTTGTTATTGCTTTAGACTAGCATTGTTACTTATGGTAGAAACTTGCTTTATTTATTTTAATTGTTTTGATGTACTGTGGTGACAATTGATGATAATTATTTATATTTTGAGCGTTTTTCTCGTAATAGCATTATTATTGATGAAATAAAATTTCCTCATTATAAGTATACTGTTTACGTTGTCAAAATAATATTTCCTCGTTATAGAGTATATTGCTTACGTCGATAAAAACATATTTCCTCGCTATAGTGATACAACCTATAACGGTAAAAGTAATTTTCCTCGCTATAGACCATATAACCTATATCGATAAATGTAAATTTCCTCGTAATTGAATTTCTTTGGCGAAGAATATGGGGCACAACCTACAACAACAAATTTAAATTTCCTTATCTTTGAGTCCCTTTACCGAGGAACTGTTTCCACGAGAAAAAGATACATATAATGAAAAAAATCAATTTCCTAGTTAAAGATTTATCTTTGGTGAGGAACAGTTTACTCGCTGAAAGATACTTACAACGACGAAAATAGTTTTTTATAACTTTTATTATATATAAATTAAATATTATTCACGTATCATTGGCGAGGAAACTATAGTTTAGCGATGAAAAATGTATGAAATTAGGTGAGCAAAAATATCGAGGCTAAAGAGTAACAACGAGAAAAGAATATATTCATCGCAAAAAGGATTTCGCGAGAAATTATAATATTCCTCGTAGAAACTTTTCTTGACCACCCTATCGCGAGGAAATGGTGACCAAAGTTTTTTCCTCGCCAACACACTACGACGAGGAAATCTCGACTTTCAACGACAAACTTGTTCCTCGCGGATTAGCTTTTCTGTTGTAGTGTGTATACCACTCACAGTTAATGAATACATATCACAAAAATAAGACATGAATATATATCACAATAAATATTTATTTATCACAAATAATAACCAAACATCACACTAAACTGTTTACGTCACATTATTAGACAAAATGTCACAAGAGACATGAATGTCACAATAGGTAGACGAATGTCACAATAGGTAGACAATTGTCACATACCAAAGGAAACTATCACAAATAAGCTGTAAATGTCACATGCAATAAGCAAATATAAGTGTCATATATCACATGTAAAAGGTAATGATCACAGATAAGGTGCAAATGCAACATATTACTTACAAATAACACATATAACTCACCGATAGCAAGGGAGCGCAGCCGATGAGATATGTCTGCCCCTTCTTCGCTATCTTCGCAGCCTTGAAAGAATCCCACAATTCCTTGTAGATGATCGTCGCCCATGACAAATTATCAACCATATCTAACCGAGCTATATATTTAAACATATGCCGGGGTGCATTCATTCTCGCGGTCAGAGTCCATATCAATGTGAGTTGATAGAGGATTTGAAGCATAACAAAATCAAAAACATTCGTCCTCTTTCTTGACTGAACCAATCTTTTCAATAGGGCCTCAAGGTAGTCTCGGCCACTCTTGTATTGTAATTGTTGTTTGTTGGGAACCAATCTTTTCAATAGGGCCTCAAGGTAGTCTCGGCCACTCTTGTATTGTAATTGTTGTTTGTTGGAGAAGTATGTGTTCCATATCCTATTCTCCGTATCTCGGTTGCCTTCGGGTTTCTCCCCTTTATCATTAAATCGGGTATGTTTAAGCACCCAATTTACATCAAAAGTATACGCATGTGGAGTCCCAGTTTGGCTATCCTTGAAAAAAACTTCCCCGTGGCTAAATCCAGATGATCTAGAAGCAACATGATCGTAGCCTTGTCTGCTGGAATTGCACCAAAACTAACATAATTTTTGAAATTGGAGGATCCATAAGCCCTCCAATGTTCAGCCCTCATCCGTGGAGCGATTTCATCCATGAATGTACAATATCCATGTATATTACAAGAAATTCTTATATCATGCTTACTGTAAAACATAACACAACAGATACTGCATCAAATTAGGGTTCTAATGCGGCTAAAATCACAATGCCAAACACATTAAATCGAAAAATATGAATGATTGGGTTAATACTTACATCCCAGGCTTGCTCCTCGCTGATTCAGATGAGTGAGATGATGATGTCGACATCCCAGCGAGCGTCACTGTTCGGTTCAACAGAGGGACTCCAGCGACTCGCTTGCAGTCGGGGGGGAGGGGGCTTAAGGATCTTGTCCAGCGGTCGAGCATCGACCGAAGACGGTCATCACAGGTGATCGCGAAGAGAAAGACGATACGAGGTGCGCGTCGGGTTCTTGAGAGGAAGAGGCAGCGTCGAAGAATATGAAATGAGGCAGCGCGTCTTCCGACAAAGATGACGAAGAGCGAAGTCGACGAAGCCGGTTCTAATGTGGTCGGCCGAAGACGAAAAACGACAACGACGAGACAGCGGCGGTTTTCAGAGGCATAGGGTTCAAAGAATATGATGAGGGGCGGTCCGTTCTACGAATGAAGATGACGAAGAGCGACAGACGACGAAGACTGGTTCCCGAAGCGTTGTCGTCGGCGGCGGTTTTGGGAGGAAGAGGGTTTCGAACGAAAGGGAAGATGGTCTCGAAATTTGAAACAGGTGGTTTTGATAACAACGCTCAGAAAGGATGGTATAGTGAATTGGGAAGGGTAATTTGGGGATAGTTTTTGGGGTATTGTATCTGTACTCATATTGGGAGCTTGTTGCATTTTTTTTGCTGTATAAGGGTTTTTTGGATATGCTTTTTGGGCTTGGGGTGGGGATGAATGACCCAACTTAATTTGATTCCCCAATGCAATTTTCCCCTAAAATTATTATATCTCAACAAGTAAATCAACCTAAAGCGTTGCGAATGAGAACCCAGACACATAAATTCACATGAGAAACATCAGGAAACTACATAGTATAAACATATGAACTAGCTGCGGTAAAATTCCATTGAAAATTCCAAAGAATAATCACGTGGACTAATCCTAACATAGATGAGTTCCAAAATTGGCAATCTAATGCACTATTCTAAAATTCAAATTAAATAAGAATTTATAAAAGAGTTAGAAATGATAGAGGATTTTAAATACCGGACTCATATTCTCAGCAACGGGAAGAACTTAAAATTATAGAGCGAGAATTAGAGAGTTAGAAATGAAACAATAAAACTAATTTCTAAAAGGAAATATACCTAAATTAACCTAATAATTAAGGGTTTCTTCAATCAACAATAATTTCTCAGTTAAAACCTCTCACCTGATAATTTCCAATACCTCCCAACCCAGCGTAAGCATCTGTTGCTACTGCCTCCGTCCTCTTCATCGTCGTCGTCCTTCATATCATCACCGGTGAGCTCGTCAAGGGTCAGGGTTGGGTTCTTATTTCCCCCAATCTGATGATTAATCTGGATGAAGGAGAAGATATGATGATTTTTGGATAGTGGGGAGCTAATAAATTTAGACTGCACGTGAAAGGCCCTCTTTATACCCAAATAAATAAATTAAAATAAAAAATAAAAATAAAAAAATTGCACGTGAGAAAGTAGCATTATTGTGCCTCGTTTAACGCCCCGTGTGATGTGATGCCAATATTTAGGGGCTGTTTGGTTGTTGTTGGTAAAGTTGTGTATTTATGACACAACTTGGAAAGTTATTGTCCACCTCATCAATTTTACTTTTATATCTTTCTTTGTTTGTTTTTGATTCCATTGGAATCATAAATTGCTTGTTTGGTTTGTAAATGTAACTTTAATTGTTTATTTGGAAAGTGTAAAAAGTGGTCACTACTCAAATGATCATATTGGTTGGAATTATTTTTTATTATTTTTTTCTGACTTCAATGTCAGCTTTCTCCAAAAGTCATGTCTTTTTTTTATGAAATCACTTTACAAGCCACATCAGCATATGAAATCACTTTATACTATTTTCACAACTACAAACAAACAATTGAAAGTGATAAAAGCTGACATTGGGACCCACTTTTTTACACTTTCCATTCTTTTACATGGTAAAAACATACAACCAAACAGCCCCTTAATGCCCACACGAGGGAATCCGGTTCTTTAGCTTATTGGGTCTTGTTAGAGATATTTGTCCCCTAAATCTAGTATAGTTTGAGATTAGCCCCTCTCATCATTGAAACTTCTACAAGGCCCCCAGTTTTCATAGTTTACTTTGAAATTAGTTCATCCATTAAGGGGGGTGGTTTATTTCACCCAATTTATAGAAAAAAATTGGTATTTGGATCTGACAGTGGCAAAAGTATAATATTTGGATTCTTTATCAATCCTATTCTAGAGTTTGGCTGGAAAAAAATTTATGGATTACATAATCCATAAAGGTGCAACAGTAAGGGTTTTTTTATAGAAACCCAAATCGGAGTTTTTTGAGAGGGTTTGGGCAAGAATTCTGACATCGTTCTTCATCTTCGTTTTCTGATTCCTAATCCTCTCGACTTCGAACCCTAGATCTGGAATCGCAACTCCCCATTTCTTCTCCCGCCTCTCCCCAAGCTTCTTCGCACCTCCTCTCCCGCTGTTCTTCGATATTGTTGTTAGGTTCGGTTGGTGGATTTGCCCTAGATTTTGGCTTCGACTTCTCCCGCGACCCTTTATCCCACCTCATCTCTTCGATTTCTTTTTCGAAGACGAGGCACAATGCTTATTTGTCGGTGGGGTTTGTTGGTTGTTCCATCCGATGGAGTTTGTTGGCAACGACATCAATTTCTAAATTATTCCCTTCATAACTACTTAGCATCTGCAGGTATAAATCAATTTATCCCTTTTAATGTGATCGTTTCATTGTGCTTGCTTTGAGGAAATTAACATTGGTAGTGAAATTATTGATTTTGGTATATGTTTAATTATTGAAACAAGGGTATTGTTCGGTGGGGTTTCATTTGGTATATAGTTGATTATTGATTTTAGTAGAATTATTTGTCGGTGGGGTTTCATTCACAATTGCTTGGCATCTACATGTCTAATCTCTCATGAAACAAGGGTTTTGGTATATAATTGATTATTGATTTTCGGTTCTCTGGAATTTTTGTTATTGCAGTCCTTGCCTTTAGGTTCATGGAGCTTGTGTAGTTCCTTGCCTTTGGGTTCGTGGAGCTTGTGTAGCTCCTTGCCTTTGGGTTTGTGGCTGTTATTTGAAGCTTGTGTAGCTCCTCAATCTCTTTGAGTTTGTTGCTGTTTTGTTTTGAGCTTGTGTATCTCATTGCCTTTGGGTTATATGAGGTTTTGTTTTGAGCTTGTGTAGCTCTTTGCTCTTGGGTTTGTGACTGTTATTTGGAGCTTGTGTAGCTCCTTGCTCTTGGGTTTGTGGCTGTTATTTGGAGCTTGTGTAGCTCCAATTGCTTGGGTTTGTGGCTGTTTTGTTATGAGCTTTTGTAGCTCCTGTGAATTTGGGTTTGTTGCTGTTTTGTTTGGAGCTTGTGTACCTCATTGCTGTTGGGTTTGCTACTGTTTTGTTTTGAGCTTGTGTAGCTCCTTGCTGTTGGGTTTGTTGCTATTTTATTCTGAGCTTGTGTAGCTCTTGTGAATTGGGTTTGCTACTGTTTTGTTTGGAGCTTGTGTACCTCCTTGCTACTGGGTTTGCTGTTGTTTTGTTTGGAGCTTGTGTAGCTCCTTGCTGCTGGGTTTGTTGCTTTTTTGTTCTAAGCTTGTGTAGCTCCTGTGAATTGGGTTTGTTGTTGTTTTGTTTGGAGCTTGTGTAGCTCATTGCCTTTGGGTTTGTTGCTGTTTTCGCTGGAGCTTGAGTTGCTTTGTTGCCTTTGGGTTTGTTGTTGTTATGTTTTTGAGCTTGTGTAGCTCTATAGGCTGCTATGTGGTAGCTGTTTTGTTTTTTCTTGCCTGTGGGTTACTTGCTATTTTGTTTTGAGCTTGTGTAGCTCCTTACAGTTGATATTTGGCAATGATGATGATTAGCATTTACTGAGAATGCAATCTAACTTACATTGTTTATTATATTCAGATGTGACAAAAAGGGGATGAGATTGTAGCCTACATTGAATTGACAATGTCTAGGTGAGGCAATTCATCCTTATAATGTAATTTATAATAAACATGTGAGTTATAGGTGGGGCAATCAATTATGACAAGTTGATCTATTACCGAGCCATACAATATCAATTACAATTTATACCCAATTCCAAAAATAGTTTTCATTACAACCTAAATAGTTTTTGCAAGTACAAGTACATGACATGCAGTTTGTAATAATTAAAATAATACAAAAAATTACTAATAAAATTGCTAAAATTTTCCAAGCTACTAGTTGATTTCCGACAAGTCTCAATTCTTTCTTCAGCGTCTTTGATTGCAAAATATATTTATCTTCGTACCTATTTTCTTTGACATATTGGCTTCCTTGGTTGCTTGGGTCTCCTCTTTCATCAGCCCGTTCGGAAAAATTACATTTTTTATTTGAGAATTCTGCACACCCCTAATAACACCTTCCCTTATTTTTACCATTCTTGCACACTTTCATCGGTGTTCTGAGATTGCAGTCGCAATAAAGTTCATAATTTTGATAGCACTCTTCTGATATCATATTGATGTCTGGGATCCAATTTGCAGACAATGGGAATTTATAAATTGCTGAGAAATGAGAATGCATGGATTAATTTGAGGCCTCAAGTTGAATTTATAACCACTATAACCCTGAACTAGCCGCTGCTACAGTGTTATGTCTTTGAATTTTGAAGATAGTGGAAATAGTCATTGCTATAATGTTTTTTCTTTGAATTCTGAAGTTGGTGGAACTAGCCGTTGCTACGGTGATTTTGTGATGATCAGTGAGCTAGCTATTGCTACAGTGTTGATCCCTAAAAAAATTCATTCTGAACCAAACATGGTATTAGGAATTGGAGGGTTTCTATAAAAGTGAGATTCTTTTTTTCTTTGGGTGAAACAAACATAGAATGCAACAAAAATAGGATTTCATAAAACTAAAATTTATCTATAAATTTTTTATGGATTAGGTTGAAATCTATAAATAAAATAGGATTCCTAATCCTATTCCTAGCTTCTATTGAACCAAACAGGTCCTTAGACCATAGGTAGCGAGTAGAGCTAGGGGCTAGTTTGGAATAACTTATGAGAATTGAGTTACATAATGATAGCTTTATGAATTAGAGTGGCACTAGGGGCACAC